TATTCAAATATATACTTAAGGGATTCTCTTACATATATTTAGAAGAAGGCTCTAAGGATTACAACCCTTTGTAACTCTATTTTACCAGGACATTTTTAAAGGCAGATATAGTGTTTTCTAATCCCCAACATTGTGAAGCATTTTGCAGAATTTGATGAGAGGGTACAGCGTTGGATACATGGTCCCCCCCTCATTTTCCACCGCTAGATTCTTGCAAATGTCGAAGTAGTCAAGCTTTATGGGGACAAGTACCAGACTTTTCAAAAGAGTCAATGGAGTATCTCTATATTTCCTATGGGTTATGTCAATATCACAATGAAATGAAGATGTAGCATTTTGGGACTTGGCTTACATGTATAACTAGTTCATGGTACAACTGAACTTCACAAAATATATTGCAGTAATGGTTAACCATTGGGGTGAAGCTTTGCCTAAATTTTCACATGACCAGCCTTGCTGATTAAAGTGTCCTTTGACTTAACACAGTTTATTTATCATATCCCATATTATGTAGAAGTTGTTCCTTCCAAACTGACGATCAACTTACAATGATAGGTGCCTGCACTAAATCTACATTTAAAACATGGATGTCTCATTGGATCAATGGCTTGAGGACAAGGTCAATGTCCATGGGGGGAGTAATGTAATGAATGGGCTTAGCATTAATAAGGATTTGGACCTTGAGAAAGGGGCCAGCTGCTTGTTTGAATGGGCTTAGGGGATGTGAAGTGGGTTAAGGAAGAAGTGAGGATAGATAGCAATGAAAAAGCGCCAGGAGGGCCGCATTGTGGTCTCTCTCTGAATAATTTCTCTCTTTCCCCTGTGATTATTCTGTTTCTCTTATTTCTGTGTAATGTGGCTTAGCTTTATGATGTGAACGCAAGCTTCAACTTTGATTGTCATTAGTAATATCAGTGTGTTTTCAGTATAATATTTTCATCATAACACAAAAACATATACATGAAAGGGCATACATCAACTACTGAGAATTTCCTTCCACACCTTTTTCCTATTTTAAAAGGAATAAAAACCCTTATTTTTAATATAAATGATGCTGTAGATGCGGCTAGCTAAGTGAAGCCTAAATTCCCAAAGTATTTAAAGCAAAGTATAAAAAATTAAAAAAAAGGTTTAAAAAAAAAAAAAAGAACATACAGTGAATGTAGGTGGGATTAGCCAGGCATTGAACAAATTCCAACTCAAGTAAAAATCGCTGCCGGCCGTCATCTGGATCTTTGTATATATTCTTTGGCCTAAAGGGAATGCATTAACCATTAGTCATTTGAGTACAACCAATCCACTGAACCCAAATTTGTAAATATTATATATAACATCTATCCTTTTTTTCATTTTTTGAACCAAAACAGCCTCGATTATCCATTAGTATACCATAATTTTCCTAATGGAGAAAATGGGGCAACACACAGGAAGGAGAAGACTAAAATTACAATGACAATTATATAAAATAAATGCCAAAAGAAGTAGAAATAAGGGAACTTGTGCCTACGAGGACGGAGAAGCATCGGTAGAATTCTCGGTTTCCATTTTAGAAGCCATGGATCCCCCAACTACAGAAACGAACGGAAAAAAATGAAGAGAAAAACAAAAATTGCATAACGGTCTTCGAAAATTGCATAAAGGACAATGAACTGCGATTGAGATTGAGAGAGGGGCAAAGATAAACCTTTTAACGTGGCAGCCGCTGTCGAGATTAGAGAATCAGGGAACTGTGAACTACGAAGAGCTTGACGCCGGGAAGTGGGGAGTCCAGAAAACAGGTCAATTCGTAAATTCTTAAATGAATTTACAGCTTAAACGGCACCGTTCATATATTTATAATTATGAAAATTAATGTTTGGACTTCACAGTTTACTTGTTTGTTCAATCTCATCCCCTGAATTTCGCTCCGCACAAATATTGTCCAGCGTGTTTCATAGGAGTTAAATAGAAAAAATATCAACCGACATGGTAGCAAATTTATATCAATTAATGATTAATAGTTTTAAAATTTTACGACAATCCTTTGATCTTTGACATATATTAATTTTTATATGAAGTTTTTAAATTATCCCTAAAATATAAAATAACAAAAAAAGTTACTCTTATTATCACTAACCACCAGATCACCACTAGAGACTTTACTGCTAATGAGGTCACCAACAACTAGTCACTAAAATTCTAGCACTGGTGATGCTTATTATTTTTTAATTGGCAAAAGTAGTTAAGAGATTTGATCCTATAATCTCTTGACTATCTAAAAAGTTTGGTAGTCTATAAGTCCATTTAATAATATATAGCAAAAAAATGTAATAATTAAGTTTGTAAATCACTTTCATGTTATAATATAATAGTGTAATGTTAACTTTAAAATCGCACATGTTATTTTACTAATATTATTTGTTAATTTGATATGGTCAATTATAAATCAAAAACTTTAAAACTTTATGCATTTTACTTATTAAAGTTTGAATATATTGTTGTTAATCATAAAATGATTGTTGTCAAAATGCGAATGAATATTTATTAATGAATGACTAATACTTATATAATTAAACTCATCTTTTCAGCTTTTTTGTTAAAAATTGAATGAATTGTTATTAATTTCAAGCAATTATTATTAAGCTCTAATTGATACTTGTTGATAAAAAATTAACAATTGTACAATTAAGCTTATTCTATCCATTTTATAACTTGTTAAAGCTCGAGTATATTATTATTAATTTTAAATGAATTATTATTAAAATTTAAATATATATTAATGGTAACTAAGTGTTGGCGAGAAAAGATGAACCTTGCATTGGACCCAAATTTTTCAAAACTTGCAATGAAAAATAATAAAAGTTTAAATTATTTTAAATGGGTATGGAAGATCAAGAATGATAAATGTCAACTATTTTGTTTGACTGATAGGGAATTATAAAAAGCCTCAAATTTGGAATCATTGTCATCGCTTTTTTGTGTTTAAGTATCTATTCAAGTTTTAATAAAAATTTATTTAAAATTAATAATAATTCATTTAGGCTTTAACAAGTTAAAAAAATGGATAAGATATGTTTAATTATAAAAGCATTAGTCTTTTATCAACAAATATCTATTCATATTTTAACAACAATTTGTTTAAAATTAACAACAATTCATTTAGGTTTTGATAAAAAAAACTCATAAGATGGGCTTTATTATATAAATATTAGTCATTCATCAATAAGTATATATTTATGTTTTGATAACAATAATGTCGTAATTAATAACAATATATTTAGATTTTAACAAATAAAATGCATGAAATTTTAAAACTCTTGATTTGTAATTGACCATATTAAATTAATAAATAACATTAATAAAATAACATGTGCCATTTTAAAATTAACTATACAATGTTACATTATAATATGAAAATGATTTAAAAACTTAGTTACTACATATTGGTGGCTATTAAGTTTTTTAAGTAGCTAAGAAATTATGAGATCAAACCTCCCACAAACCTTTGCCAATAAACCTCCCACAAACCTTTGCCAATTAAAAACATAAAGTGTCGTTGGCCAACGTTGCCAGTAGCAATGTCTCTAACGTCCGGTGGCCAATGTTGACAACAGTGGGATGGTTTTTTTTTTTTTTATAATTTATGAGCAATTCAGTTATTTCATGTAAAAAATTAATATCAATCAAAAATTAAGAAATTGTAATGAAATTTTAGAATCTATTAATTCTTGAATATTTCCCCTTTAAAGTAAGCTGCACTACTTATAACATATTAATAATTTTATTTGATGTATACCAATTATTTTGAGTTTTACATCATTTTCAATATACTATTATTGTGTCTTTAAACCTTTTGATTTTTCAAAAAAAAAATTATTCAATACCGATATTTGGAAATAACCAAACAAATGAAATTGCTCCACGCTTGTAATGCACCATCTCCTCCCGGCATCGAATATAAATCCAAATGTTATATCAACACTTGGGACAAAATATAAGCATGTGTTAGTATTAACATAAAGGGTTAGATTATGCTTAAACATGATGACTTGAATTCAAGTTCATATGTATAAATATATATAAAAAAAATGTCTTTGAAAATACTCCTTTTAATTTAGTTTCAAAAGAAATTCAATAATAGATTGATCTGAACACAGAGTTTTAGTAATAAATTTGTGCCTCACACTATTATAATAATAAAAATATTTTTTTGGCCAATTAATAATAATAATAATAATAATAATAATAATCTTTTACATCATGAATTTCTTGTTCTTTTTATGATGTTAATATATTTGATATTTTTATAAAAAAATTAAAATGGATTATATACAGATGTTGTAGCTTAATTGTGAAAATAGAGGATATAGAATGTACATTTTTCTAGATATGTTATAATCACAACAGATAGAATGTTCACTTTCTACATGATCATATAACAGAATTTACTTATAAAAAGATATTAGTCACATTTCATAGATAAATAAAATAATTTTTTATCATTTATGAGTATCATTTTATTAAAAATAATTTTATTTGAGACATGCTCAGTTGTTTAAGGCACCTTTCCCAAAAGAAAAAAATAAAGATTTTTTTTTTTTTTAGTATAAGGGTAAGTTGTAAATGCAATGGCCTACCGTGGTATAAGTTGTCCGGGGACAATCATGTCAAATTTCAATTATCGCTGGAGTGTATAGACGTAAGCATATCCAAAATCAACTCAAATGACAAAATATCTAGATAGTGAGAGTGAACCAAAAAAAAAAAAAAAAGGACCATGTAATGCAAACTTTGGTTAATTAAAATATCACCTCTATTTTATCAACAAAAAAAAAAAAATCTCCGCACGTACTCTTATTACCTCTAATAATTTCACTAAAATTAAAAAAAAAATATGTTTAAGTTATTAAATTTATCTAAAAATAGAATAAATTTATAATTTTATTTTTATTTAAATAAAAAATTTTAATTTTATATTTTCTTCTTATAATTAATAAATTTAAATATGAATAATATTCAACTTGCTAGAGAGTCAAAGTAGTTTATTCAACTGATGGATTGGGTTTGAATTTTGCAAGGCCATCATCAATAATAGCAGTCTTACACAGTGAAATCCAGATTAGTTTAGACAGATGGCACTAATATTCTCATGTATTGGAGTGATGAGATTAAAAAAAAAAATGTCAAAGAGAAATTGGGATTCAAAGAGCAATAACTTAGAAGATGGATTATATTTAATTCCTTATTGCAACTCAGAATCAATATTGATCAGTCAAGGAAGTTGAGAAGCAGGGGATTGTAACTGCATGTCACAGAGCATCTGACGCAGCTCAGAAGCTTCCTGTTTGAGACGAACATTCTCTTGAAGGGCTCGGTCATGGCTATCCGAGACAAGGTTAAGCTTATCCAGGAGTTGGCGATTCTCGCTCCGCAGCCAAACAACCTGTGACCAGAGCTCGTCTAGCTGCTTCTGCTTCCTGGCGCGTGACCTACGCGCCGACTCTCTGTTCGATATCATCCTCCTGTGTCTCCTCTCGTTCGCCGCCACTGCCGCCGTGCTCTTCCCCTGAATCTGATCCTCCGCTTCGTCGGAAGTCGACTGAGACGCCACGTCCTGAAGTTGAGGAAGAGGAAAAGGGTTGATCTGGGAATTTTGGTGATGGAGTTGAAGACCGTTGTTGCAGATTAGTGTTTGGAGGTGAAATTCCATTAAAGTGGTGTTTGGCGAGTCGGAATCGACGAGAAAATTCATGGCTGGTTGAAGAGAAAGAGGAAGAAGAAGATTGAAGTGATGATCATAGAGAGAGAGAGAGAGAGAGAGTGTGTGCGTGTGTTTGGGTTTAATTTGTGAAGGAGGGAACGGTGGTGGCAATATTATATAGGAGGGAATCAAAGGGGGAATTATATTAATGCAAAAATTAAAATTGATCCCACTTAAAAGCATATTCAAATTTCTGGCCACCACATTTTTCTGGGCTCTGTTCATTTAATCAACCTAGGTGAGATGAGGCCGAATTGGTTGCAAGAAATTGGAGCAACCAACCACATCATGTTGTAAAAAGTGGACTTTACTGTAGACTTTTATTTTTTTATTAATTTAACTATAATTATTGTATACATAATGTTTGTTTGGATGGCGTCTATAATCAATTTTGGATATTAAAATTATGATTTTATAAAAATATATTCAAATATTTTTATTACATGTTAAATTCAATTATAAATTTAAAATTATTTTTAAAAAATATTTAAACACTCATTATATATATACATAAAACCATATTTTTTTAAATATCCAAATACCTATATATATACATATATCAAAATTAATTATAAACCCAAAAATATGATTTGTAAAATAATTTATATGATTTTTGGATAGATTTTTTTAGAAAAATATAATTGAAAAGTATGTAATAGTAATTTATGAGATAACATGGTTTTAGGTTCATAATTGATTTTGACATGTATGGGGTGTTTGAATATTTTTTAAAAAATTATGATTTTGGATTTATGATCAATTTTAACAAGTATAATTGATGTTTGCATATTTTTTTAAAAACATAGTTTTAGATTTATAATTAATTTTAACATATAACATGGGTGTTTTAATATATTTTTACAAAACCATAGTTTTACCTTGATTTCAATTTTACTTTTTAATTTTGATTAAAATTAACCTTATTAATTAATTTTATAAATAGATTATATATCACATAACATAATCAATTATATTCAAAATCAATCATAATTAATAATCAGTTTTTTTCCTACTCATTTATACCCAATTGAAATGCAAACATACCATAGTATTGTGTTACATATATTTATTAGCTGTTGATATATAATTATAATTATAATTTTGTATATTAAAAAATTGCATTTATATTTTATTAAACAGTCATATAAAGGAAGAAAAAGACAATTTAAACACGATAAGAAGGTGGCTGTTCATGTAAAATTATTTTCCTTTCCTTTCCTTTTCTTTATGAATCAAAAAAGCTGTTTGTGTCATGAAAATCCCTTTCTTCTCCTTTCTCGAAATGACCCTAAAGTTCCTCCCTCATCCACTGAACCAAATGGACCATAAGTCTTGTACACAGTCTTAGGTAAGAAATTATTGATGATTGGTGAATATAATCTTATATTGTTATATTAATTTTTAACTTTAATTTAAATTAATACCTAAACTTAATATAAATGAGATTTTTTTATGAATAATTAGATATTAATAAAACACAATGAGGTCCTACAATTCATATAATTATATATATTATTTAGCAAAATGAGACTTGTTATATATTCTTATTGTTATTGAATATAGAATAATAGAATTGTAGAAACATAGAAGGTATATTATCAAATGCATACAAAATAGTAACAAAAAGCGTGTATATATTTATATTAAGAAAATAACAAATGTGGGACAAATGCAATGTTGTTGAAACTGAACCGGGCTGGACCGGACGACTGCCACCCACTAAATAAAATAGTTTGGTTCAACTAATTGAACCAATCTGGCATTTGACTCGGGTTGACCCAAATTGAACTGGCCAGTTTTGAGAGAACCGGTTTTGGCCCGAAAACTGGAGCTGAGTCAACCCAGTTCAAAGTCAAAAATTTTTTTAAAAAAAGAAATTTAGACTGAGTTGTTTAGATTCGCAATTTCACTTCTCTAATCACTAATTCTCTCTTTTCTTCTCTTCTCTAATCTCTAATCTCTCCTTCATAGCCCAAGCTCAATCTCTAGCTTCTTCTCTAACCTCTGCCTCCAGCTCTAGAGATCCAACTTTTGGCATTGAGACCGGAAGCTTGTGAGTTATGATATGATGGTGTGCCTCTAGCTCCAACATTTTCCTTCAAGATCACAAGCTTGTACTGATATGCCTCTACCTTTAGCTCCAACGGTCCAAGCATCTAGGTTTTGGAGTCGAGATCCCAAGTACAATTGACAAATTAATATTTTATTTATATAGTTGTGCATATAAATATTATTTTTTATTTAATTTTTATGTTATCAGTCCGACTGCCGGTCTAATTAGTTAGACCATAAAAACCGTGATCCGTTACCCTTTCTGATTTGATGTCTGGTTTGGGTTTTAAAATACTGAACAAATGTCGTGCCAAGGAGGGGGAAAGTAACTAAATATTAACTATTAGGGTTTGTGGATAATCATATCATTGTGGGGGCAAAATATGCTGACATCAGTAAGACACATAATAATTTATAAGAGGAAGACATCACACACTCACACAATTGGAAGCAGCACAAATAAACCCAAAAAAAAAAAAGTTTCTAAAGCATGAGATTTTAATTTCAAATTCATGTGAATGTAAAAAATATTTTTGAGAGAGTTGCCTCTAATTGGATGCAATAATATTTAAATCTGACTCAATTAAATAACTATATAAAAAATTGAATATATATATTATTAATTAAGGATCTATAGTGGATTCTGTTTATTTATGTTATTCACTTATTTTGACATAAGAAACAGAAAGGAATCTCATTCCTAAATTTTTATGACAGTGAAGAAGAAAGAAAGGTTAAACTTGATGACTCATTACCCACTTCTATTGGCACATCCATTTCTTATTTTATAATATATATATATATATATATATAATATTATATGCATTTTATAATACACACCCAACCACTTGTTTTCTTCCAGTATTTTGGTTAATCAGGGATCAGATCATCTAATGTGTTTTTCCACATCACAGATCTGATGAGCTATTGATATGTATTTTATAATATAGCGTTATTTTGTTTTTTTTACCTCAGAAGAAGTAAAAAAGATATTTACACTTAATTAATAGACAATAAAATAGAATGTTGTATTTTCATTTGTCTAGTTTCACTTTTGTAAGACCGGTTTTTTTTTCACCTGATTTCTTTAGTTCTTTTCAAAGGATATTTTTTTATTTTAATTAAAACAAAAAAATGATATTGAAGAAAAATAAATCAATGACAAAGGTATGTGATTCTGTGTTGCATTTCTCAGCACACTGTACAGTAAAAGATTTTGATTCGTTAATTAAGTAATTTAACTAGTCAATCATAATGTGTTATAATGTGTTAATTAAAAATTAGTAATGTAATTACTCACTTGAATGGGCAGATCCTTTCTCTCATGCATAGAAGGTGGCAAGTTATGATTGGTCACACTTATTGAGAAGAAAATAAATGTGCTGACTTTTTGACTTCATTTTCTATTTTAATATATATGAGTGTGTATGATTTGAATTATCCATCATATAACTGGAGAAAGTTTTTACAAGACGATGCTTGAAGCGTAGGCCAGATTCGCATTTGTAGTAATAGATCTTAGTTGGGTCTTCTCATCCTCTTAATAGGAGAAGGATCATAATAAACTTTAATTTAATGTGGTTCTTGTAATAATTTTATGATAAAACTCATTGTTCAAAGACGTTCATGATATATTAGTGATATATAGAGGGGAATTATATTGGAATAAAAATCACTCTCAGCTCCTAGCTAGGAATTTAAATAAAGAAAAGTCGAGTAAAACCATAAAATTACATAAAATCTCATATTATTTATTGAAGTTGTTAATCGACACTAGAGAGTTATTAATAGAGCTGTTCAATTGACAATTAAGCTGCAATAATTAACAATTATCTAACAATGATTTATTATTAGTTACATTGAGTGGTTGTATTGAGATAACAAGCATCACAATAATCTTGGTTTACTTTTCAGATAAATAAGAGTTTGGACTTTGCCCCATTTCTAATTTAAAAAAAAAACAATTATCTAACAGCAAGCAATTGACAACTTGAATAAAAAAATATGGGATTTCAAAGTGGTTTTATAATTTTATAGAATTTTTCTGTATTAAAATTGGTTATGTGAGTCTTGAGAGTGATTTTCTCAATTAGATTTGCAAATTCATCCCTCCACAAAGTAGAGGCCAGTAATTTTAACTTAACATTTTGGCGGCAAAAAAAAAAAGAAAAAGAAAATCAGTTTTCGTTGGAGATTTTCACACCATCACATTTGATATGAATAATATGTATATCGAATTAGATTCAATGGTAGATAAATTAATTGAGGTTCTTAAAATAAATATCAATATGGTCATGAAATGAAAACCAAAAAAAAAAGGAGAGAGAGAGAGTGGCTGAGATTAGTTTTTAACCACTCAAATAAGTAAGTGGAGAAAAGGTCATGAACATTGATAAACGGTGGAAAAATATATATGAGCAAAAAAATAGCACTTTTGCATTACACAATATTCCACTAAATGAAGAAATGGATTTATTATAAGAATTACAAACAATTCTACCAAAAAAAAAGGAACTAAAAACAAGTTAATGAAGGCTTATCATTTATCAAAGGGATAACAATATAATTTACGCCTTTAAGACGTGGGTTGTCCAATTTGAAATTCATTATCAATGTGAAGATCAAAGATATTGTTGGTGGATAATTAATGAATACATTTATTAGTTGTTTTTAAACTGTGAGGTTCACTTTCACTTTTTTTTTTGTTTTGTAATATTCGGTATTTTGAATCTGCCTATTATCAACATTGTTGTATTTTCAAAACTTGAATTTCACATCTCTGATTTAGACAATACAATTCTTGTGGCAGTTGAACTAGATATCTAGTAGTTGACATTCACTTTGATTATATGGTAATTAGTAATAGTGACAAGATTCATATAACTTTTTTGGGGGAAAAAGGAATTGAAAAAAAAAATCTGGTTTGAAAAATGTTTATTCCTTGCACATCCAGTTTGATATTGTCTACTTAAGTGGGATAAGTTGGTCAATACTGGCATCATTACACAAATTTTGACTTTGTTTTATTCCAAAGGCCAAAAA